GACGCCAGAAACAGCAGGAACAGAACCAGCAGCTCCGGCCGGAGCACCCACTCCAGCAGCACCTCCAGCAGAACCACCAGAAGCTCCAGAACCTCCAGCAGCAGCACCAGGAGCACCGTCAGACGGACCACCAACCGCAGGCTCAGCGCCAACGTCCTCAGCAGGACCAGCTCCAGGAGAACCCTCAGACCCAGCAGCTCCAGCACCCACAGGACGAGCACCGCCAGGTCGCGTGGCAGCAGCGCCCTCCGCAGCCGAAGAACCACCAGCACAAGCGGCACGCCTCCAGCGCCGGGCAAACCACTCACGCAGCTCCTGTGGAGAGAGCGGCTCCCGGCGAGACGAAGCACCCCCAGGCACAGCACCTCCAGGCTCGGCACCTCCAGGCTCAGCACCCCCAGGCTCAGCACCCCCAGGCTCAGTACCCCCAGACACAGCACCCCCAGGCACAGCACCCCCAGGCTCAGCACCCCCAGGCACAGCACCCCCAGGCTCAGCACCCCCAGGCCCAGCACCCCCAGACTCCGCACCCCCAGGCTCAGCACCCCCAGGCTCAGCACCCCTAGACTCCGCACCCCCAGGCTCAGCTCCCGCAGCAGCACCGGAGTCACCAGTGACCTCGACAGGCTCGACCGCGTCTACCTGAGACACACCTGAAGGGGCAGGACCCTGAGGGGGGAGGGGGACTACTGGGGGGGGACCTGGTACCAAGAAGAGCGGGGGTGGGGGGAGGGACGGAGTGCGGTAGGGGAAGAGGCGGTAGTAGGGTACCGACTCGTCGAACGTGACGTCCTGGGAGGACAGAACACGTCGAGAGGTGGGGTGGTAAAACTGCCATCCAGGGGCGTCGGGGGGGAACCCGAGGAAGACGCAGGGAGAAGCACGAGGGGACAGCTTGTCCGCAGACAGGTCGCGAACAAACGCCCGAGATCCCCAGACCCGGAACGCCGACGCATCGCCAACCTTCCCCGTCCACAACAGAGCTGGGGAGGTCTCCGGTCGAGAGACCCTGGGGTGGAGGTTGATCTGGTGCGCAGCGTACCTGACCGCAAACGGCCACAGAAAATGGGGAGCAGCCGCATGCATCATGGACGTACGAGCGACGTCCATGACCATGCCAATGCGGCGCTCAGCGATCCCATTCTGCTGTGGTGAGTCCGGAAGCGTGAAGGTCTGACGGATGCCTCGCACACGACAGTAGGCACTCAGGAGGGCAGAGGAGAACTCTCCGCCTCTGTCCGAGTGCAGACGCAAGACAGGGAAGTCAGAGCCAAAGCTTCTCCGAAGCTGAAGACGAGCTGCGCGGATCCAGTCGATCAACACCTGAGTGACCTCACCCTTGCTGCGCAAGGGGAAGACTGTGGTGTAACGCGAGTAGTCATCAACCACCAGCAGGAAGTAGCGCTCCTGACCCTGTCCACGGACGCGGGCTGGGCCCCACACGTCCATGTGAAGCGTCTGCAACGGGGCCTCTGTCGGAGGAAACTGGGAGGAGTGAGGGGCAGCACGCTGGCGCCCCTCGACACAGGGGACACAGGCAGGGCCACGGCCCGGAGGAAGGGGAGGGAGGGACCGGGGAAGACCAGACACAAGGACCCGCGAGGCCATGCCTCTGAGCCGAAGCAGAGAGGGGTGGCCAAGGCGGTGGTGCCAGAGGAGGGTCTCGTGAGACAGACGACGACACGAACAAGGGGCAGACTCAGGACCAGACCTGGACGCTGCAGCAAACACCTGACCAGACGAAGGGGCCCTACCAGACGCAGTACCTGGAGGAGAAGCAGTGGTCAGTGTGTACAGGCTCGACCCCGGCCGACGTGTAAACGTAGCCAGGTGGCGACCTGTATCCGCCTCCGTACAGTGGGTCACCCGCTGACGAGCAGGGGTGAACTGGTGGACACCTGCATCCTGGAGGTCAGCACCACTCACCAAGTTCGTCGAGAACGAGGGGAGGTAGAGACCAGTCAGGGTGCCAGAGGGGGCCGCCGGACACGGGAGGACAGTGGAGAAGCGAGACAGGACAGGCCCCCCAGAGGGGTCCGCCAGGGACACCGCAACAGGCCGACTCAGCGGCGTGAGAGTGGTGCGGTCCCTAAAGAAGGAGCGAGACGCTCCAGAGTCAAGGGTGAAGGTGTGAGAGGCCGAAGCCGACACAGTACCTGAGAGGGCGGACTCACCAGTACCTGAAAGCACAGACGCACTGGCACCTAGAGCAGCAGCCTCACTAGTACCTGACGCGGCAGTACCAATGCCCGGGTCGGGCGGGAAACACCGGTAACAGTCATCCTCATCACTACCAGTCACAGCATACATAGCAGAGAGAATAGCATCAAAATCAAGATCATAAATAGCTACACCAGCCCTAGACAGCTCTCCCCAGCGGGGGATCTCAGCGGCCTCCGGAAACTGCTGACGCCAGGCGTCGGTCAGGCGGCCAAAGCAGCGACGGGCTGTGTGGGCGCCTCCACACCTCTCCCCTGCACGGTCACCAGTGCGAAGAACGTAGGGGCAGGGACCAAGCGCACCACCGCGCTGACGCTGCAAGTACCACTCACGGAGCTGCTGAGGGCCGGGGACGGTGCGAGAGCGCTGCTGCTGCTGCTGCGGCTGCTGCTGTGGCTGCTGCTGCTGCTGCTGCTGCTGCTGGCGCTGACCACCCCCAGAGCTGCTCCGCTGGGACGAGCCACTCCGACCCCCTCCTCCACCGCCACCCCCGCCTCCACCGCCACCCCCGTCGCCACCGCCACCTCCCCCACCAGGACCGTCGCTCCCACCGCTCCCACCGCCTCCTCCGCTACCACCTCCGCCGCCACCTCCGCCTCCACCGCCGCCACTACTACCTCCACTCCCGCCACCACCCCCCCCGCCACCCCCACTCCCCCCTCCACCCCCACCGCCTCCTCCACCGCCCCCTCTGGCTCCACCCGCTCCCTTGCCCCCCTTGCCCTTGCCAGTGCGGCGTCTGCCACTAGGGGCAGACGCCGCGCCGACCGACTCAAAACCAACGAGGTCGGCCGCAGCGGCAGAGGCGACAGAGGGCAGCAGGGGGGAGGGACCACACCCCTCAAAGATGGGGGTGCGAGGGTCACCCCGAGAGGCCCCTACAGCGACAATACTCTTCTCAGCCGCTAGCAGGGACTCCTCAAGGAGGTCGACAGTGAGAGTGGTGGGACAGACAGAGAGAAACTGGTCCCTAACGACACGAAGGGACTCAGGGAGACGGGTGACGAGAAAGTAGAGAGTGATGTACATGGGAGGAGGGTTCGCAGCGCGGAACTCAGCAGGAAGGGCAGCGCGGTAGCGGGTGTCACTAGCGCGGAGGTGGGTAACGAGGTCAGCGACAGTGGGAAAGGAAGCGAGGTCAGGGAAGAGAAACGGTAGCATGAGGCGGCTAAGGGTAGCGGAGGAAGGGGAGGAGTAGCGCGCAACTACAGCGTCGTACAAGGCCTGAGCGGTCTTGCACTGACTAAAGTGGGCACGCTCAGAGGAAGGGAGGTGGCGACGCACAGCAAGACGTGCAGCAGCATCGCGGGTCGCCCACTTGGAGCGAACGGCAGAGTCAGCATCAGCAGGCGGGGCAGGGACAGCGCCAGAGACAAAGTCAAAGAGAGAGACCTCATCTACCGCATCACACAGTAAGTACAGCTGCAGGTCCTCGATCCAGACGGCAAAGTCAATGGCCCTCCCCTCAGCGTCAAAAGTGAGAACATTGGGGGTGGCCATGGCAGCAGCTGAAAGTCTCACCAGGATGGGAGAGTCGGGTAGGTCAGCAGCAGGCGGCTCGGGCTGCTCGGGCGGCTCGGGCGGCTCGGGCGGCTCGGGCGTCTCGGGTACCGGGCGGCTCGGCTGCTGCTGGGCGGCTCGGCTGCTGCTCGGCGGTTCGGCTGCTGCTGGGCGGCTCGGCTGCTGCTGGGCGGCTCGGCTGCCGCTGGGCGGCTCGGCTGCGGCTGGGCGGCTCGGCTGCTGCTGGGCGGCTCGGCGGGGCCGTCAGGGTGCAGCTGCGGGGCCGGGACAGGGGACGGCGGGGCCGTCAGGGTGCAGCGGCGGGGCCGGGACAGGGGACGGCGGAGCCGTCAGGTGGCGGGCCAGCAGGCGAGGTGGCGAGCCGTCAGGTGAGGCGGCGGGGCCGTCAGGTCAGGTGGCGGGCCAGCAGGTGAGGCGGCGGGGCCGTCAGGTCAGGTGGCGGGCCAGCGGGTGAGGCGGCGGGCCGTCAGGTGAGGTGGCGGGCCAGCAGGTTAGGCGGCGGGCCGTCAGGTGAGGCGGCGGGGCCGTCAGGTCAGGTGGCGGGCCAGTAGGTGAGGCGGCGGGCCGTCAGGTGAGGCGGCGGGGCCGTCAGGTAAGGTGGCGGGCCAGCAGGTGAGACGGTGGGCCGTCAGGTGAGGCGGGGGGGCCGTCTGGTGAGGTGGCGGGCCAGAAGTCGAGGCGGCGGGCCGTCAGGTGAGGCGGCGGCCGTCAGGTAAGGCGGCTGCGGGGCCGACAGAGGTGCAGCGGGGGGGGGGGCCTGCTGCAGCGACGAAGAGGCCGCGCGGCCGTCTTGAGGGCGGCGCGGCGCGGCAGAGCCGAGAGGGCGGCGCGGCGCGGCTGTAAGGGCCGCGCGAAGTGGGGCCTGAACCGCGCGCGCGAAAAAAAATGGGTCGCGCGCGCGACTCTCGGGGCGCCACAAGGGCAGCTCGACGCGCACTAGGGGGAGCGCGCCTCGGGGAGAATAGGGCGCGCTCCGGGCAGGAAAAAAAAATCGTGGGTGGGCCCAAAGAACGGTCCTTAGGAGGGACCCGCTCTATACCATGTGAAACTAACTGAACAGGAATGAATTGACTAAGTCAGAGTTGGGTACAAATACAACCCTAGCAAACTGTACCCCATATGTGCTACCCCACTATAGCCTACAAACATGCATCAGCTATAATAATCTGACAGGTCGCGCCAGCAATAGGTGACAGCCGCCATAGCGAATGAAAAATAGGCCTAGGAAGTTAGGCTTGACGCAAAGTCAAAATAGTAGGTTAAAACTTAGAAATTATGAGGCTAGGAAGTTATGAGATGAGCGAGAGCAAAGAAGAGGTCGATTGACTAGAAAGGAGGCGGAAAATACAAGGCATGTAAGGCAAGGTAGTGTACCACAAAATGTTTGCAAGGAATAACTACACTGGATTATGCTACAAGCAGTTAATATACATGAGTATATTATGACAGCATGATTCTTGATTTTATCCCCCTTGTTGTAATGCGTTGGCGACAGGTTAACTAACTGTAGGTCACTTCAATATTTTATTATGGAATGGCTTAGAGGTTAGCTCTTTCATAAATGAAATCACATTTGGAAATATGCAAAGCAAATATCTAGCACCAACATAATGGTGATTACTAATATTGGTGAGAGGGAAGGGTCTCTACGGGAATGAGACGGGAAAACAGGTCAACCAGTCATACAAGAACAACAAACATATCGGTAACTCTAAACTTACAAATCCACAATGTATGGCATACCCGCCCATTGGGCGACCCACAAGTCCTCCTACAACATCTCGTCTCTCTCTCTCTCTCTCTCTCTCTCTCTCTCTCTCTCTCTCTCTCTCTCTCTCCCTCTCTCTCTCTCTCTCTCTCTCTCCCTCTCTCTCTCTCTCTCTCTCTCTCTCTCTCTCTCTCTCTCTCTCTCTCTCTCTCTCTCTCTCTCTCTCTGCCTATAGGACATCTGCGACGCTCATCATGGTTGGAAGAGAATCACTCGAGCTTGAGCATGCATATTTTCTATCAAAGGGTGAGAGCTAGAGATCGATCCATCGCGGGGCCACTAAGTTGGTTGGCACGTGTTTAGTGATCCTTCTTTGCATTCTCTCGACTTGCTCAAATTCTCAGCTGCTTCCTCTCTAATCTTATTCCCTTTTCTTTTTCGGCTATTTCTTCCTCTGTCACCATTTTAAGCGCTTCATCCTGTAACTCTCTCGGCCATGCTACTATGCAACAAGGTAGAGAAAGGCAGTAGAGAAGTCAAAATAATGAAGCTCGTAGTCACGTTGCGCCGCGATGTGCAACAGTAACTACGAGCTTCACTACTTTGACTTGTCATCTTTGGGTGGGTTCAAATGACTCGAAGAAGTCTCCCCCTTCTCGCTGACTTAAGCCTCTAGCCACGTAGCGTGCCTAAAAAGACAGAAGGTTCTCCATGTGGTCATTTCATCTTGAAGATCTACATATCATCGACTTCGCTCCCTTGGGAGGGGTAACTATGTCAATATTGGTGCCTGCGGACTTCCAAGATGCCATATACAGTATGCCTCCATAATTGCTATCCACTGAGAGGTTCAGGGTCCCAAGACTACCTCGACATAGATGCCATGGGTCAGGACAGTAACAGTGTCAAGGTCACCTTCAAGGGCTAGTAGCAAAGAAGAGGAATAGCGGTCGCAAGGAAATATAGCTCAAACTGCCTATCCTCTATGACGTCTTTGCCAAGGGCAAGAGCACACCGGATAGACAGGACGGGTAGGAGCAAAGACCAACTGAGAGGCGTAGTCGAGGCGGCAAGTAGAGGCAAAGTCAGCGACAGCACCGAAACCCTAAAAGTGTAGAAGAGATGATTGAGGATGAGCTGTTTCATGCTTTTATTTTTTCGAGTAAGAGCAATTCAATATAAAAGCAAGACATATAGAAAGTAAGTAGGCGACACTGTAGTGAGGCAGTTTGGAAACAAGAAATATCAAACGGGAAGAGTAGAAATCTAGGCTAGGCGAAGGCACCATTGTAGTTAATGGCTACCTTAAGCATATTACTTTAGCAATAGGCTGGATAGGAGGTTCTTGCTTGCTAGTTTGTTTCCACATCGAGCATGAATTGTGCCTAGCAATGTGAAAATAAGAACGAGGAATGAATGAAATAGGAAGCAGGAGGGTACAAGTAGGAAACCCTAAAAGTGTTTTACCCCATATTGTCTACCCCACTACAGCCTACACAGACTATGTCATATAAGTTTGACACACCCCCGTAGGCAAAGTGGGGGAGAACGAGAGGTCACAAGACCAGTCAAGAGAAGCAAAGCAAGCTCATGGTCGATCACGACGTCACCACTCATTCTTGTTGAATAACTGAACAGGAATGGATGAACTAGCAGTGAAAACAGTACAAGTACCTAACCCTAGAATCGTGTACCCCCTATAGGCTAACCCACTGTAGCCTAAACTAACACAACATATATATAATGTTTGACACAACCCCATAGGCAAAGTGGGGGAGAACTAGGGGTCACAAGACCAGTCAAGGCAAAGCAAGGAAACACAAGCTCAGGGTGGATCTCAAGGATACCACACAAATTCCGAGCACAAGCAAGTGGTCACAAGACCAGTTCACATGCAGGTTTATAATAGAGCAAAAGGTACAATGATCACAACCTAGCAAGAGTAAACATGAAAGTATATATATATATGTATATAGAGATCACAGTACAAACAGACTCAAGAAGTAAGCAAGTGAGGTCGAGTAGGCACAAGGCCTAGAAGAGTGCAAAAGCGCTGATAGTCACAAGGCTGAAGCGCCTTGGTGAACACATCGGCAGTGTTGGCCTCAGAGGCCACGTAACGCAGGCGAAGCTGACCATGCTGCTGTAGCTCTCGAGCAAGGAAGTAACGCAGAGCAATGTGCTTCGTTCTGTGCTCCAGTCTGTGCTCCTCACACAAGGCAATGGCTGCCTTGTTGTCGACGTACAGCACTGGAGGAGAACGAGGCTGCTCTCCAAGGTCGGTCAGCAAGTAGGTGAGCCAGCGTAGCTCCTGGGCCGCCATGGCTGTGGCGTAGATCTCAGCCTCACAACTGGAGCTGAGAACAGAAGAAGAGCGAGTAGAACGCCACGAAACTGAGCCAGAGCCAAGGCTGAAGGAGTAACCCTGAGACGACCGCTGAGTAGCCTAGTCGTCTGCCCAAGAAGCGTCTGAGTGCCCAGTGAGAACAACTGGGACTCGCCCTCCAAGCACTAGCCCCATGCCCGACGTACTGCACAAGTAGCGCAACACCCTCTTAGCTGCATCCATGTGCTCCTTCCGGTGACCGCCGGGAGCGACATAGAGTGCAAGAATGCTGAGAGGGTATGCAAGGTCAGGTCGTGTGCAGGTCATCAGGTACATGAGGCAACCCACAAGCTCTGGATACGGGCCACTCGGCTCTACGGACTCATCCGAAGGCAGAGCTGAGAGCGAGTGACCGGTAGGCAGAGGAGTGGGCTGAGGCGAGGAGTACGTGAAGCGGAAGCGCTGAAGGACCTGCTGCACCATGTGTGACTGAGTCAAGGTGATGGTGCGGCGTGCTCTGTCCCGGGTGATCCACAAGCCAAGATAGCTTGTCGGTTCACCCACGTCTGTGCACGTGTGTCTCTTCTGCAGCTCCGACTTCACGTGGGCAAGTGCCACAGTGTCAGTAGTAGCAAAGACCAAGTCGTCGACGTACACAAGGACGTAGAACGGTGGCAGTGAGGTGTCGGTGCGTAGAAACAGCGACGGGTCAGCAGTAGAAGGCACGAACCCAAGAGCCGCAAGCGTAGTCCTCAGTGTGTCGTGCCACTCACGAGGCGCCTGGCGGAGACCGTAGACTGGCCGTCGGAGGCTCCACTGGGTACCAGGAGGGAACGACCCAGTGAAGCCAGGTGGACGGCGCAGCCAGATCTCCTCTTGCAGGCTGCCCTGCAGGAAAGTAGTGCTGAAGTCAAGCGAGTGGAGCTCGTAGTCACGCTGAGTGGCGACGTGCAGCAGAACCCGAAGAGTGGTCATCTTCGGGGTCGGGGAGAAGGTCTGGAAGAAGTCAACTCCCTCTTGCTGACTGAAGCCTCGTGCAACGTAACGCGCCTTGAAGACAGGCGGAGAGCCCGGCGGCCGCTTCACCCTGAAAATCCACATGCCACTGACGATGTTTGCCCCAGGCAGGGGAACCTCGTCGACGTAGGTGCCTGTGGGCTTCCTGGAAGCCATCTCTGTGTCCATGGCTGACTGCCACTGAGAGGAGTAGGGACCGGCCATCGCCTCTGTGTAAGAGCGTGGGGTCGGGATGTCTGGTGCATCCGGGTCTCCCTCAGGTGAACCAAGCATGGACACGAGATGGGGCAAAGCGGCAGCAAAGCACTCAAACTCCTCCTGCCTGTCCTTAAGGACGTCAGTGCCAAGAGCACACTCACCCCCGACGGACGGAGGACAGACAGAATCACACTTAGCAACCAGGCTAGCAGCGTAGTCTAGTCGACAGCTAGCAGCAAAGTCGACAAGCTCAGCAACTAAGGCAGACGCAGCAGCGAACTCAAAGGAAGGGTCAGTGACAACAGTAGCCAAGAGACGCGTGACACTAGGACTGGCATCACGAAGAGAGTCAGACCCAGAGTTAGCAAGAGCAGGAAGAGAGGAAGCAGGAGGAGACGGCAGTGGGACATGCTGTGGAGCAGTGGACGGACGAAGCGCCATCCTGTGAGTGCGTGGGACAGCAGGAATACGCTGACGCTGGACACGATTACTAGAGAGAGCAGTGCGGACAGGCGACTCAGGACGAGACTCAGGCGACGCAGGACGAGACTCAGGCTCACGACGCTTAGTAAGACCTCCAGTCAGACCAGTGTAAGGAGCACGACCAGGGAGAGAGGAGGCAGACGGTAACGGCGACTGCAGCTGGACAGACGGAGGACACTCTACGGAGGGAGGAGGACAAGGAGGAGAAAGCTGACCAAGAACCTGCTGAAGGAGCGGAACAAAGTACGGCCGAGACCGTGCAGCGACACCAGAGTCAGCAGGGACACCCGCACTAGGGTCCGCAGCACCAGTAGTAGCTCCAACTCCCGGGTCCTCAGCACCAGCAGCAGCTCCAACGCCCGGGTCCTCATCACCAGCTGCAGCTCCAACGCCCGGGTCTGCAGCACCAGCAGCAGCTCCAACGCCCGGGTCCTCAGTACCAGCGGCAGCTCCAACGCCCGGGTCCGCAGCACCAGCAGCAGCTCCAACGCCCAGGTCCTCAGTACCAGCAGCAGCTCCAAAGCCCGGGTCCGCAGCACCAGCAGCAGCTCCAACGCCAGCGGGGTCCGCAACACGAGGCACGCCACTCCGAAGAGTGCAGCGCCGCTCGTACCACTCACGGATCCGCTCGCGGGAGGGGAGCTCTCGACCGGGAGAAGAAGCACTAGTACCAGTCCCAGCAGTACGTCCGGCACGAGCAGAACCCCTCCAGAGGGTGCAGTACTCTAAGTACCACGTACGCAGCTGCTCCGAGGAGAGGACTCCTCCAGGTGAAGGACTCCCACTCCCAGTACCTCCAGACCGAGAACCCCCAGACTCCGGACTTTGCGGCTCAGCACCACGAGGCTCCACACCCCCAAGCTCAGCACCCCAACGCTCCACACCCCCAGGCTCCACACCCCCAGTCTCCACACCCCCAGGCTCAGCACCCCCAGGCTCAGCACCCCCAGCAGGACGAGACTCAACAGCTACCTCAACAGGCTCAACCGGGTCTACCTGAGACCCACCTGAGGGAGCGGCACCCTGAGGGGGAAGGGGGTCTGCAACAGCAGCACCTGGCGCGAGGAAGAGAGGCGGGGGGGGAAGCGGGGCAGTGCGGTAGGGGAAGAGGCGGTAGTAGGGGACGGACTCGTCAAAAGTGACGTCCTGGGAAGGCAAGACCCGGCGCGAGATGGCGTGGTAAAACTGCCAACCAGACGCGTCCGGGACAAAGCCGAGGAAGACGCAGGGAACAGCACGGGAGGAAAGCTTGTCCACAGACGTATCGCGGACAAAAGCTCGAGACCCCCAGACCCGGAAACGCGACGCATCGCCAACCTCCCCCGTCCACAGCAGCGTGGGCGAGGTCTCCGGCAAGGAGACACGAGGCCAGAGGTTGAGCTAATGCGCAGCGTACCGGACTGCAAACGGCCACAGAAAGTGGGGGGCAGCCGCATGGATCAAGAAGGTACGGCGACCTCCATGACCAGGCCAATGCGGCGCTCCGCAACCCCATTCTGCTGTGGAGAGGCTGAAAGTGTGAACGACTGCTCAATGTCGTGCTCAGCACAGTAGGCTGCCAAGAGGTTGGAGGAGAACTCACCACCTCTGTCAGAGTGCAAGCGAAGGACAGGAAAGTCCGAGTGAAAACGCTCGCTGAGCTGGAGACGGGCTCTGCGGATCCAAGGGATCAAGACATCAGGGACCTCACCCTTGGAGCGCAAGGGGAAGACCGAGGTGTAGCGCGAGTAGTCGTCAACAACTATCAGGAAGTACCTCTCCTGACCCTGACCACGGACGCGGGCTGGGCCCCACACGTCCATGTGGAGCGTCTGCAAGGGAGCAGTCGTCGGGGGGAACGAGGAGGAGTGAGGAGCGGCGCGCTGCCGTCCCTCGACACAGGGGAGACAGGTAGGAGGAGGCGAGGGTGGGAGGGCAGGAAGGACTCTGGGCAGGCCAGAGACAAGGTACCGGGAGGGCATGGCACGAAGCCGCTGCGCAGACGGGTGGCCAAGGCGGTGGTGCCAGAGGACAGTCTCGTGTGCCAAAGAGCGACACGAGTAGGGGGCGGACAGCTGACCTGACGTGGACGCAGACGCAGACGCAGCAACCTGAGGGGACTCAGTAGTCATTGTGTACAGGT